ACGCTCTTCGCCGGAGAGAGGATCCTCTGCGATCACGTCTTCGCTGGATCTCAATCCATCAGAGAAGCCTGCTTCGCCGAGATTTCTAGAAACGGAGCCTCTCTTTTGTTCAGATTCCCCGAACTCGTCGCCAAAACGAAGAAATCGCTGCCGGAGAAGATCTTCCGGTTGATAGAAATGTACGCCGCAATCGCCGCGCTGTTGCCGGAGATTGAATCGATATTCTCGCTAGATTCAACAGCAGCTGTTAAATCTCAAGCCTACGCTCTGTTTCTCCAACTCTCCGAGTCCGTACGAACAAGTCTCATGGAATTCGAAACCACGATTCAGAAAGACTCTTCCAAATCGGCGGCGAACATCGCTGCCGTCCATTCCCTGACAGTGCAAGTAATGAATCACTTGTCTACTCTCGCGGACTACAGCAACGTGCTATCCGAAATTTTCTTCGACGTGTCTCAACCGCCGAGGTCGCCGTTGCCGGAATCTTACTTGTACAGTCCAGAACCAAACTACGCGACGGAGACGGAGTTCTCGGCGCGTATGGCGCGGCTGATTCTGGTTCTTCTCTGCAAGATCGACGCTAAATCGAGGCATTGCAAAGAGGTTTCGGTGTCTTACCTGTTTCTGGCAATGAATCTCCGGCACGTGGTGGCGAAGGTCCGTACCTCGAACTTGCTTTACGTGCTCGGCGACGATTGGGTGTTGAATCACGATGCGAAGGTGAAACGGTTGATTGCGAAGTACGAGAGAGTGGCGTGGGGGAAGGTGGTTTCGTCTTTGCCGTCAAATCCAGCGGCGGAAATGTCGGCGGCTGAGGCGAGGGTTGTGTTTGGAAACTTCAATTTTGAATTCGAGAAGGCTTATCGGAGAGAGAACGCGTTTAGTGTGTCGGAACGAGAGTTTGGAGAAGAAGTCAAGGTGTCTCTTGTGAGAAAAGTAATTCCCGTTTACCGCGAGGTGTTTGAAACGCACCGTATTGCAGTGGGATCGGTGAGAGATATGAGGGATTATGTCACTTTTACCCCTGAAGATGTTGAGAATTACATGTTGAACCTCTTCTCCGTGGGAAGAGCAAGCTCCGGTGCTGGAGGCAACGGTTCATGTTTTGTAAGGAAAAAATAATATAAAAGAAACCAAATGACAAGAGATTTCATAACAAGGGAGCAACAATTCTATTTGGATCCTCTTATCTGATCATTTTTTACGTAACAGAGTTACACAAGACATATATGTTATTCTAAAAATTCCTTTTTTTATTTTTAAGATGATTTTGGCATTTTAATTTATAAATTTTAGTTAATGTTATTATTTTTATACAATGATCGTTTTTTTATTTTAGTGCAGTTTTGAACTATTTTTTTTTATTAATTTGACACGTTAAATTTATTTTTTAAATTCACTTACACTTGTAAACTATGAAACTTAATTAATGGTTAAAAAAAACTATATAAACATGATAAAAATCACTTATAATTAAAAAATATATATATTTGCTACAAGAAAATGTTAAAATATCTATGAAAATAAGTGTCGATTAATAGATGACGTAAATATTGTCTGTCAATCTAAGATGTAGTGTCAATTTTTTCGATACTAAATTTAAATTGAGTTTAGTGTCAAAAAAGTTGACACTATTCCTCAAATATAATGTCAAATTTTCTAATACTAAACTTAATTTGTGTTAGTATCAGAAAATTCGACACTATATTTAAGAAAATAGCATCGATAGGAAAAGACATCGTTATTTTAGATATAGCATCAGTTTTTCTAACATTAACATAAATTAAGTAAACATAAATTAAGTTTAGTGTCAGAAAAGTCGATACTATATTTAAGAAAAAATGTCAGTTTTTTCGACACTAAACTTAATTTAAATATAGTGTCGAAAAAGCCAATGTTATATCTAAAAGATAATGTTAGCTTTTTCGACACTATACATGCTTTGAGAGATAAATGGTAAGCTTCTATTTTTCACATGACTTCAAGGGTGCAAATGTTGCATCCATCTTGCCTATTGGGACGTATTCGACCACTTTTTAGGTCGAAGGGTATGACTTTGTTGGTGTGGGTGTATTCGACCTTTCTAGGTGTGGGGTGTATTTGGTGTCTTTCTAGGTTGAAGACGTATGCCTTCATTGTTTCAAGCTCGCTTATTGGGGTGTATTTGTCCTTTCTAGGCCAAAGGTATGCGTTGGTTGGGGTGGGGTGTACCTTGTATAGTATACTTTTGTTGATGAAAGATTTTTTTATTATTATTATAATTTGTGCAATTAATAACTTTTCAAAAAATGTGTATTATTTTAAAAGATAAAAATACCATATAAAGACAATAACAAATTTTCTATTTTTCTTAGCAAATATTTTTAAAGTCATAGTTAAAAAAATGTCACAAAAAATAGTTTGTATTTAGTAATGATGTATCATAAATGTAAAAGTTTTACATAGTCAATTAATAAAACATCATGATATGTATGACTTTTAAGATAATTATTATAAAAATTAATATACTCATCTTTTATGGTATATTGTGATTAGATGATCATATAAAACTACTTTAAATTATCAATGTATTATTATTAAACTCAAATAATTTTAATTTGAAAACCAAATTAAAATATATTAATATGATGTTAAAAATGTCTTATATGATCCAGGAGTGTGCAAGTCAATTAGCATAATAAATAAATAAAAAAAGTCAACTAATACAAAGTTATTTTGACTTAACTAATAATAATAAATAATTTATATTGTAATATAAGTAGCAAAAAGTTAGTTGTGAGGTGTTAATTACAAATAACATGATATATGTACATTTGCAACAATAGAATGTAGTGTGAGATAGATAGAGTTTGTCCTTTATTATTTTCTCTCCCTCTTGTATTCATCTCCTAGAGTTTGAATGTTGTATTCCAATACAGAATCATATACAAACAAACAACGGTCATTAATAATAATAAGGCATTGACTGTGATGCCTGAAAATGAGATTTATCATTATTCACATTATTATTATTATGATATGATGATGATGGTAGCAAACTCGCCATTCTCCAGAGAGCACTGGGGGAAGAGGTGTTCTAGAAATAGGAACGATATATATAGGGTGGGAAAAGGAATGATATAAATTTCAAAGTCGCGCGTTTCAATTTTGGCTACAAAACGAGCGCTGTAGTGACTTTTTTCGCCCTCAAAACACGAATTCAAAGAACTGTGAAACATAAACTTCCTGAAACAACTATCATTGCCTGATTGGGATAACCCAGCAGCTACATATTTCTAAGGTATTAAATTTATTTATTTTTATTTAACATTTTTCTTATAATGTATTAAGATGATTTATATAAGAAAATTTATAGAAAGAAATAATAATATTATTACACTAAAAGGAATTGACTCATCAATAACATAATGAAAACAGGTTGGATCAACTGGCTGTCACTTTTAGTAAAAACATAAAAAGTTGAAAGTATCAATCCAACTCATTTTAAGGTGAGTCCGGAGTTCATTCATCTAGACAGGATACAGATGACAAATTATTATTTGATGACAATCAAATCAAAGTTTTACTAAGTTTGGGATGTGTTTTATAGGATGGAAATAAATAAGTAATAAAAAATAGGGAAAACAGAAGTAAAGAATAAAAAATAGAAGATAAATAAAAGAGTGAAAATAGGAGTGTTTATTTTGATCTAAGGAAAACGGGGAATGCCATACAGAGTGGGAAATTTGTTGAAACATTCGCGTTGAGAGAGGGAAATGTGTGAAAAAGGATGGAGTTTTGAATGAGTCACAGGTTTTGAGCTCCATCTCAAATATTGGCTGACTACGTACGCGGGTGGCTTTCTTTACAAATTCTTTCTGTCTTTTTCCATACTGAGGTGAAAGGAAATAGATCATATTATATTCTTCTATTGATTTGGAGTGAGTTTATAAGATACTTTAATTTAATTCAACGATGAATGAATTGTTATTTTACAACTCTCAAAAGTAAAATCCCTCGTTTATATATTATGTTTTGAGTTGTCTCAACACTTGAATCTCACAAGTGAAACCAATTTTGATTCGGCCCATGTTATTGTGAGGTACTTTTAAAATCGCGGTTTGTTTATGTATGAATATTTTTGTTCTTATTCATATTTTTTAATTTTCTATTTTATTTTAGAACCGCTCATAAATAAGTGTTCTATTATTATTATTGTTAAGATATTCTAAGATACAATTTAGATATATTAGTTTATCTTTTCCTAATTTATAGTTTATCTTAATCCTTAAATTTTAGGAATTGTTTCTTTTACTTGTCTATTTATTTGATTGTACCCATTATTCAGATTAATAAGAAATTATTCATATTCAAGTTAGTACCAGAGCACTCTGGTCTAAGAACCCTAATCTAGCCGCCAACATCTAGGGTTTTTGACTTTTGTCAGCAGTTGCCAGAGTTGACACTGCCTGCACATTTAGAGGTCGCCAATCGGCCTCTTCGTCGTGAGCCACCATCAGTCATTGTCTCATGCGCTCTCACGCGCGGTTCTTGTTGAGGAAGCTTGCTGGCGCGTGGGGTTTACGGGCTGCCCTCTAGGCCTCCATTTGCGACGTGATTCACTTCGTTGGACTCGTCGACCCTCCTTCTTCTCGTTTTGACCCTTTTCAGGTTGTGGATCACACTTTAGGTGGTCTGTTGGTGGTCGTTTGGTTGTTGTCTCGGAGTTTCGTGGTCGTTTGGTTGCTGCCTTGAAGTTCCGTGGTCGTTTGGTTGCTGTCTCAAAGCTCTGTGGTCGTTTGGTTGCTGTCTCGGAGTTTTGTGGTTGTTTGATTACTACCTCGGAGTTTCGTGGTTGATTGGTTTCTACCTCAGAGTTTCGTGGTTGATTGTTTGCTATTTTTGTGGTTTTTAGATTGAGTTTTTCTTTTGCTGTTTTTCTCCTTTTTCTCTTCTTGGAAGAGATTCCCAAGGAGAATCCAAAAATTGAATCTTCCAAAAAGGGGGTTGGTCTCTTTTGCCTTTTCTGGATCACCTACTATTACATCTGAAAAACTTAATGGCAAAAATTATTTGAATTGGTCCACTGCTGTTGAAATGTGGTTTTTAGGTTAGGGTCTCTATGATCATCTTACTAAAAAGGCGTCCGAAGTTGATAAAGAGGTGGAGATGAATGGCAGCGGGCAAATTCTCAACTTGTATCTCCATTGTAGCAGTCCATTAAGCCTAAATTAATGGTGCATTTTCGTCCATACAAGACATGCTATGATATTTGGAAGAAGGCTCGAAAAGTCTATGCCAATAATATCGAAAGATTATGAGTCTGTTCATGGTTTGACAACCCTTCGTATGGTTGATAATGATTTGCCGACGTATTTGAATTGTGCTCAATCCACTATTGATGAGCTCAAGCTAATGTTGGTTAGTGATGATCCTCAACAAATATTAAACAAACTTGATAATATGTTTATGGTGTTTATCCTTCAAGGCCTTCACAAAGATTACGGATTTGTTCAAGATCAAATCTTGACAAATCCTGTCATTCCTACAATAGAAGAACTCATAGATCGATTGATTCGGGTCCCTTCACTGGAGGCAGATCCTCACACAGAATACGAGTCCTCTACTTTTTCCTCTAGTACTGCTGACTATGGAAGTCGAGGGCGTGGTCGAGGTCGTGGTCGTGGTAAAGGGGTAGAGGAAACTTCCATTGTACCTACTGTCAGAGAGATGGACATACACGACACATGTGTTATTCCTTGCATGGCTTTTCGAGCAAGACAACTAATGTGGCTCAATCTCTGATGGAGCTAAGTTGAAGAAGATTGATGAACTTCAACTCCTCCATGCTTGGACCGAATGTTCTTGAGGTTAACCTTTGGAAGAAGCTTGAAATCTCCATGAAGAAGCCTTCAATGGAGGAGAAGCCTTGGAAGGAAGTTCGGTTACTTCTAGTTCAATGTAGAAGCTTAAGGAACCTAGACAAGGTTTGGAACCTTGGTGAAACCTTAGAGAGAAAATTATCTCCACGGTTTTGAGAGTGACTCTTGAGAGAGAAATCTGAATATTATTTCTCAAAATTGTCAAAAGTCAGTACATAGGAGGTATTTACAAATATATAGAGAAAAGGTAGCTTCTAGGAGAAGCTAACCTTAACCATGGTTCACTAGGAACCATGGTAAGGTTTACTTAACTCCCTACGGTTTAGCAAGCTTACAAGGGAAGCTAACCTTGACCATGGTTCACTTAAGAACCATGGTAAGGTAAGCTTACCTTACTTGAGTTTAGAAGCTTGCAAGACAAGCTTCAAAACTCAAGAAGGAATGCTTGAAATTTCGGCCAAAGAGGAAAGGAAGGGCTAGGCGGCCTTTGGCTCAAAATGCTCCATGATTTAATTTGAAAATCCTTGATTTGGTTTAGTTAGGTTCATCATATGATGATGAGACCTAGCTAAATCAAATCTATGAAAAATTAGGAGCAAAATGAGTCCAATATGCAAAATTTTGCCTAGGCCCAACTCAGGCCCAATTTCTAAGCACACCCTCAAGCATTGCTAAATGTCACTCCCTTTTCCCTACTGAAAAAATACAAAATGAATGTATCAACTAGGGAGGTTAAATGGAGCTAAACTCTTCAAGTAGCCTACCTTAAAAACAATATACAATCACTAGGAAAAAGCAAGTAAAGTGCCTCACAAATACAAAGGCAAAAATAACCTATACAAGAGACTATTTACAAAATATCTGAAAAAGGTCTTTAAGATCATCCCATTCCTCTTGGTTCTTTCAGTATATCACCTCTTGGATTCCTTGGCCTTGGCCATTCGAGATCAAATCTTGACAAATCCTGTCATTCCTACAATAGAAGAACTCATAGATCGATTGATTCGGGTCCCTTCACTGGAGGCAGATCCTCACACAGAATACGAGTCCTCTACTTTTTCCTCTAGTACAGCTGACTATGGAAGTCGAGGGCGTGGTCGAGGTCGTGGTCGTGGTAAAGGGGTAGAGGAAACTTCCATTGTACCTACTATCAGAGAGATGGACATACACGACACATGTGTTATTCCTTGCATGGCTTTTCGAGCAAGACAACTAATGTGGCTCAATCTCCAACTTCGGCTCTAGTGCTCAAGATTGAATCTAAGGGCAATCATCCAATCTCATTATCTACCGATGATTACAAAGAGTATCTTCAACTGAAGGCAATGCAACAAGCCTCTTCCTTTGCCACTGTTGCTCACACTGGTAATTCAACTGTCTGTCTCTCTCATTCTACGTCTATTGGACCTTGAGTTTTGGATTCTGGTGCTTCTGATCACCTAACTAGTAATGTATCCCTTTTCCCTAGCCTATCATCACCTAAAACTCCATATCATATCACTCTTGGAGATGGGTCAAAAGTCCAAGCCACTGGTATTGGCCAAATATCACCTATCCCTTCACTACCATGAAAATTTGTTTTACTAGTTCCTGGATTTCCTTTTAATTTGATTTCTATAAGTAAGTTGACTCGGTCACTAAATTGTGTCATAACCTTCACTTCTGATTCTTTTTTGATACAGGACCGGAGTACGGGACAGACGATTGGAGTCGGATCTAAATAACATGGTCTTTACTACCTTCAGCCTTCTACCTCTACCATATGTGCATCTGTTGAGTCTCCTAGATTAATTCATCGTCGCTTGGGTCATCCAAGCTTGAATAAATTAAAGAAAATGGTACCTCATATCTCACACTTGGAATCCTTAGAGTGTGAGTTGTGTCAATTAGGGAAGCATGTTAAAAATTCTTTTCCTAATAGTATTAATAGTCGAGCTGTGTCTCCTTTTGATGTCATTCATTCTGATGTTTGGGGCCCTAGTTAGGTTCCTTCTCTTTTAGGGCATAGGTATTACGTCACCTTTATTGATGATTTTTCTAGATGTACTTGGATATTTATAATGAAAAATCGTTCTGAGTTATTCAATATTCTTCAAAGTTTCTATTCGGAGATCAAAACTCAATTTAGCAAAGTAATTCAGACTTTACAAAGTGACAATGCTAAAGAATATTTTTCAGATTGCTTCAAATCATTTATGACTTCCCATGACATTCTACATCAATCTAGTTGCCCTTATACACCTCAACAAAATGGTGTAGTTGATCGAAAACATAGACATATTGTGAACACTGCTCGTACTCTTTTATTAATGCCAATACACCCCAAAGTTGTGGGGAGATGTTGTACTTACTGCAGGGTATTTAATAAATCGAATGCCATCCTCTGTCTTGAATGATCAAGTACCTTATTCCCTATTATACCCATTAGATCCCATTTACTCTATTCATTCTCGTGTCTTTGGTTTTACTTGTTTTGTCCATGATCTTTTCTCAGGACGTACTAAGTTGTCTGCTTGGGCTATCAAATGTGTGTTCTTAGGATACTCCCGTGTTCAAAAAGGGTACCATTGTTACTCTTCTACTACGCATCGGTTTTACATTAGTGCAGATGTCACTTTCTTTGAAAATATACCATATTTCGTTGCTACTGATGTCTCTTTGGTTGACTTAGATTTTCTCAAGTATTGCCTATTTCTCATTTTGATCCCGGTGTGCCTTCTACACCTACTACTTTAGAGGTACCAGAGATTCCTCCCACACCACCAGAGTTTGATCGTCCTCTACAACGATTTGGGATAAGCTATGAACGTCGGTCACATACTGTTATTCCTCCCAGTGCTTTTTCAATTGAGCCATGTGATTCTGCCCCTACTCCGATCTCCTCACCTACTCCGGCGCTACCTACTTTAGTTGACTTGTCCATTGCTCTTCATAAAGGTATTCGTTCTACTAGTAATCCTCATCCTATTTATAACATCCTTTCATATCATCGTTTGTCTCCTACCTATTATGCTTTTGTCTCTGCTATTTCTTCTATTATCATTCCCAAGACAGTGCAGAAAGCATTAACCCATCCAGGATGGCGACAATCAATGATTGATGAGATGACAACTTTAGACTCAAACCACACTTGGGTACTTGTCCCACCTCCGCCTGGAAAATCTATTATTGGTTGTCAGTGGGTCTTTAATGTTAAAGTGGGCCTTGATGGACAGGTGGATAGATTGAAAGCCCGTCTTGTGGCTAAGGGATACACGCAAGTATATGGTTTGGACTACAGTGACACTTTCTCTCCAGTTGCAAAGATGGATTCGGTTCGTCTTTTCTTAGCCATGGCTGCTATGAGGCATTGGCCTTTATTTCAATTAGACATCAAGAATGCCTTCTTACATGGTGATCTAGAAGAAGAGATTTATATGGAGCAACCTCCCGGGTTTGTTGCTAAAGGGGGATCTGGTCTTGTGTGTAAATTACAGAAGTCCTTGTATGGCCTCAAACAATCACCTCACGCTTGGTTTGGTCGATTTAGCAAAGTTATACAGGAATTTAGAATGATACCCTGCGAGGCAGACCACTCTGTCTTCTTTAAACACTCACTGACACATAGATTTGTCTATCTTGTTGTTTATGTAGATGATATTGTGATTACAGGTGATGATCAAGAGGGCATTAAGGCTTTGAAGCAACACTTATTTAAACACTTTCAAACTAAAGATTTAGGTCCCTTGCGTTATTTCCTAAGGATTGACGTCGCTCAGTCAAAGTCCAGTATTGCGATTTCTCAAAGAAAATATACCCTTGATATTCTAGAGGAAACCAAACTTACAGATTGTAAGTCAGTTGACACTTCCATGGATCCCAATGTGAAGCTTATGCCTAATCAAGGGGAGCCTTGTCCTGACTCAGGAAGATATCGGAGATTAGTAGAAAAATTGAATTATCTCACCATGACCAGACCTGATATATCCTTTTCGATCAGTGTTGTAAGTCAGTTTCTTAACTCTCCCTGTGAGAGTCATTGACATGTAGTTGTTCGGATCCTTAGATACATCAAAAGATCACTAGGAAAGGGGCTTGTTTACAATAATAAAAGACATACAGACATTGTTAGATATTCAGATGCAGATTGGGCAGGTGATGCAAGTGATAGACGATCAGCATCAGGCTATTGTGTCTTCATGGGTGGTAATCTTGTCTCATGGAAGAGTAAAAAACAAAGTGTTGTTGCACGATCAAGTACAGAAGCAGAATACCGTGCTATGGCTCACACCACATGTGAGCTCTTGTGGCTAAAATTCTTAATTCAAGAGTTGCAGTTTTGCAAGGTTATTCATATGGAACTAGTTTGTGATAACCAGTCAGCTTTATACCTCTCCTCTAATCCAGTTTTTCATGAGAGAACAAAGCATATAGAGGTTGACTGTCATTTCATCAGAGAAAAGATCATCTCCGGTATCATCAAGACCTCAATTTGCTCCAAGGATCAACTTCAGGATATCTTTACTAAATCTTTATGAAGTCCTAGGATAACATATATATGTAACAAGCTAGATGTATATGATATATATACTCCAACTTGAGGGGGAGTGTTAAGATATTCTAAGATATAATTTAGATATATTAGTTTATCTTTTCCTAATTTATAATTTATCTTAATCCTTAAACTTTAGGGATTATTTATGTTATTTGTCTATTTATTTGATTGTACCCATCATTCAGATTAATAAGAAATTATTCATATTCAAGTATTATTAATTTATTTTTTTAACGTAGAAACTGATTGTTCTTTTTCTTGTTAATCTAATTAGGGGAAGTCGCTGTAAAATCTACATTTGTTAGCATCTTATACCTAAAAAATATGTATAAAAAATATAACAAAAAAAAATCTTATACTTAAAAAATAATTTTTGTTCCATTAATATTTTTTTTTGGTAAAGTTATGAATTTTTTGGTAAAGTTTGCCATTAATATTTGAATTTAAATGGCTGAGCTCCTTTGTCTGTAGCTTATATAGGACATTCCACCAATTGGAGTTGAGATTGAGAGCATTAGATACAATTTTTCCCCGTTTCTTCTTTTAACATCTATTTTCAACTTTGCTCCTCGTAACTTTAAATATACGCATATAAAATTCAATCTTTAACCTTTTTAGTATTTTAAGTCTAATATTATAATTTCCTTTTAACGTCTTAGTCCTTTTCACACTTTTTTTTTTACCAGGTAACAATTTTTTCTTATTCCTTCCCTTTCTAGACACTTCAAATACGCAGTACTAATGTACTATGTTAATGGTCAAAGGATCAATTGAGATAGAGTCTAATGTGGAAATAAGTTAAGACTGCATTGTGTTGTACAAAAACATAGGGGGAGGATTAATTGTATTTCACTATCTTGTCATAATAACTTAACAAGTAATTAATCATGTTCTATATACACAGGAAGGTAGCTTGATAGAATATACTTAGGGGGCGGGAGGATAATAATATAGAAGTTCAGATACCCCTGGATTTGTACAACGGCTAGCTTAGTTTCTATTCTGAGCATAACGTTTCATCTGCTGGCCTAGCAATAGATTGCCATCCAGTGAAGTGGTGAAGAATCTGTTTTAGATCATCTGTAGGGGCTCCCAGTGTCCACGAGGGATAGTGTTCACTGGGGTGAAACATGTTGCACCCATTATCCTCAGTCAACCCTGGTTGAGCACCATTTAAGAACAAGTCTCCTTCAGACCTTATGAGACCAGTTGTTCCCACTTCCTTGTCTGCTGCCTGCGACCAATTCAGTATTGTTATCACGATAGAGAACAAGCAGAAATTAATTGTTATAATATTTCATCAGACATCCTAAATAATAAATGCCATTTAGCATAAAACGTTGTCGACAGCATGCCCTCTGAATCAAGTGTCAATTTGATGCATACGACTCTAATTTTTTTTTCCTTTTATTTGGTTGGGGTCTAGAGATTCTAAATACAAAAACTCTTCAGCACGAGAATTTTCTTTTCTCAGAAGATTACAAAAGCAACCTAATACCAGAATTATCCTCAACAACAGAATAAAGATTAAAAGTGTGTCGGATAGAGACATGCTAACACTTTTAGCATTCTCTATTATTAGCTAAATTTTATTGGAAGTCACAAGGTTCACTTCAATGAGCTCTACACCATACATAAATTTGTAGTTTCCAATTATTTAGCCAGTAGTAGAGAAAGTGATTAGAAAAAGTGTGTTGCAGAGTATACTGGTATTTTGAAATATGTTAACCTGAAACTATCAACTCTATGCCAATGTATGTTGGTGTTTAGAAACATGTTGACCTTAGCTGAAGTCAACCAAACAGACCTGTTATTACAATTTACAACTGCTACACTGCTAGTGAACAATGCCCCAATATAGATGAACTAGAGGTGAAAGTGTATAGTGTACAGAAGCAAGGCCAAGGAATTCCGAAATTGTATGGTTAGAATTCAATGGTAGGATTATGCATGAAATAGCTACAAAAGCAGCTTCGAACAGGAATCTGATATATACTGAGAACTGAAATAGGATTTCCTAAAAAAGATTTTTAAGCTAACTAACAGGAAGGGCCTTAATAACATTTTACCTTGCTATCTGTAATACTTTCATGGGCAAAACTAAAAGCAGGTAATGAAGAGATTGTGGATAGATAACAATAACAACATCTAAATTATGCGTCAGAAACAATATAGAAAAGAAAAACAATGATGCATCTCAATGTAAGCAGCACACAAAACTAAATAACTAAAATAATTGCTGTATTACCACCCATCGGTTGCTGGTCAAGAGAAAAAAAAAAAAAGCACATCGAGCCAGCTAAAGCAAACTGTAAAATTATCAGATACAAACCCATATAAAATCAAGCGATCAATATCATGAGCTACCTAATTATACTTCATCACCATTTTTGCATGATCAATTGGAAGTTTGAAACATTGCCGTTAATATATGGTTACTTGGCGCTAAAGATGAGAATTAAGAACTAGACAAACCTTCTCCGTAAGGTACTTAAATGCCACCTTCTTCTGCCCTGCTTCATAGATATTATGTTGCGAGAATATCTGCCATAAGCACAGAAACACAAATGACATTAATTTTGTGCATCATTCAAAACACGTTTCAAAATTCACCCTACAAGCAATTCCAATTCAACAAAACAAACAAACACAAATTCACCTGGGATTCCACACTAGCACAAACAGCATATATGCCCCAGTTTCTGATATAATTATTGTACATATGCACTTTTGCGAACCTAACACGGGGGTGCCTCTGTCGAGTCCCATTGAAGAAACAATGGTGTATGGTGACCCTCATGCACCTATCTCCAACATGCGAGGGATCAGCCCCAATTAGCATAGTTTTGTCATGCTGAAGAAAGTGACACCTGAACATGATGGAAGGACATTCATTCAATAATGAACAAAAAAGAAAATAAGCCACACATCATGCATGTAAAACCTGTCATCCAATTACAAATCATCTATCTATGAACTTTTACAATAAATAACTAAAAATCACACCAACAATGATATGTAAAAGAAAAGTATCAAGTATTGATGCCACCTTGAAATAGTAATGTATGTGCTTTCTCGGGTGATGTCGATAAGGCCATCATCAAAATCAGAAAGCGTGCAACGGTCAATCCATATGTGGCTGGAATTAGGTTTGATCTGAATGGCATCAACGTCACTCCCTCTGCCTCCTTCAAACTCCAAATTGCAAATTATGACGTGTTGGCATTCCTTGAGGCGCAAACCTTTTCCACTGAGTTTAATCCTCTGGCCGCGACCATCGATGGTCTTGTGAGACGACACGCTCAAGTAGGAAGAGAGGTGAATAGTGCCGGAAACCTCAAACACGATCCACAAAGGTTCCTTCCGGCGACACGCGTCACGCAGCGAACCCGGTCCATCATCTGGAATCACAAGAATAAAATTAACTCCAATTTAAGTGTAATCGATTAAAGTGAGTAATTAATTAACTAACCTGCGAGAGATGTGACGTGGTGAAGGGGACCGTGGAGGCCGCCGACGGCGTTACGGCCGAAGCCCTCGGCTTGGGCGGCGAGGGAGCGGAGAGTGGTGTCGGCGTGGGCGTAAGGCAGGGAGAGCATGTTGGAACTGGAGGTGGGTGGGAACGGTGGGTGAGGACCGTATTTATGCGGCGGAGGAAGCGTGTTGTGAGGGAGGGAATTGTGGTGTTTGCGATGTCCGTGTCGATGAGCGTTACCCATTGGCCGTGTGATATGCGTTTTCAGCTCTTAGCTTCAGTTCTCAAGACTATGTTTCGAATTGGATTGGTAACGATTCTTTTCTTTCTCCGTTACTCTAACCGACACTACCGACATTTTTTAACAACCTTATTGTTTTGTTTTAGAAAGGCACGGGAGTTATTATTAGCCCAACCACGCAGGGTATAATGTTTACGTTATTCAACTATACACATTTGCCCAAAATTTCCACCATTGCAGTTCAAGAATGAAGAATCCTTCTGTTGCATTACCTAACATTACAAAAATTCAGGTTCCAAATAATATCACCACATTTGATCCTGTATAATGTTTTATATACGCCGTCTTTCAAATTCAACTTACCATATTTAAGTTTTTTATTAAAATTTCATCTTTACTCCCTACTTTTTTCGCTTCACTCCTTTTGCATTCAGATGATTGGTAGGGGTGAACTCTAAGATGGCTTATACATTCTCTAATTTCAGTCACAGTCCTCGAGACTTGGGCATTTATCTTCTAAATAACTTGGAATAATATATACAATTTTTCTTGGTTTTCAGTTTTGAAATAGAGAGATTAATTAGGCATCATATCATATGTCTTGAATCTGCTAATATTTTTTCTATACTGTGAGTTTCTGTATGTTGGATAAAGTATTTCTATTAGGATTAATATGTTAACTTTCCTGTTATGATAAGATTTCATTTCCAGCTATTATATATAGTTAATTTTGTATTCTTTTATTTCTTGAGTTGATTAATGAATCTACGAGAAATTCCCAAATTGAGTTTTTTCTTTTATTCTTCTTTGTCAAGATTTTTTCATGGTATCATCCCTATAACGAAATTCTTCGTTCATCATCTCTTCCACTTCCAAAACTCAGAATTCTTCTCGCTTCTATCTTTGATTGACCATGGCTGCAAATAGCCAAAATCAAGTATTGGATCACCTTGTCAACCCTGCAAATCCATATTTTCTACATCCCGGAGAAAATCTAGCTCTCGTTCTTGTTTCGCCATTCTTAATCGAGGGTAATTTTCATCAATGGGAATGCGACATGATCGTTGCCCTCGAAACCAAGAACAAAGAGCATTTTGTTTTTGACACTCTTGTTTGTCCTCCATGCTCAGATCTCATGCATGAAGCTTGGAGAAGATGCAATCGAATGGTAATGTCCTAGCTCACTCGATCCATGAGTCCTCCAATCAAACAATCGGTCACGTGGATGGATACAACCTCTGAAATATGGAAAGACTTCCACGATCATTTTTCACTTTTTTGATAATTTCGCATTGCAGATCTTTAAGATCAAATCTAGAATTGTCACTACAAGAAAATTACATATTAGCGAGGGACTATTCCCTCGCTATTTCCTCTCTAATCTCTCGCTAATCAGATTTGCGACGGAATAGTGATGAAATTGCGAGAGACCATTCCCTCGCTAAATACAGGTAGCTAATTAGCGAGGGATTTAATTCGTCGCCAATCCCTCGCAAAATCCGTCGCCAATCCCTCGCTAAGGTCCTCGCTAATTATATTAAGGATGCTTACTATTTGGCTCGCTAATTTGTGGTCAAGCTTCCCCGCTATTCCCTTGCTAAGGGGTCGCAAAATATCCCTCTCTAATTTGTAGCTAATCCCTCGCTAATGTTCCCTCACCAACCCCTCTCTATTCCCTTGCTATATTTCTTAGCTAAAGCCTTGCAATTCCCTCGCAAACTTTTCTCTGTTCCCTAGCAATATTTCCCTAGCAATTGTCTCGCTATTCCCTCACAATATTTCCCTAGCAATTCTCTCGCTATTCCCTCGCAATATTTCCCTAGCAATTTTCTCGCTATTCCCTCGCAATATTTCCCTAACAATTCTCTCGCTATTCCCTCGCAATATTTCCCTAGCAATTTTCTCGCTATTCCCTCGCAATATTTCCCTAGCAATTCTCTCGCTATTCCCTCGCAATATTTCCCTAGCAATTTTCTCGCTATTCCCTCGCAATATTTCCCTAGCAATTCTCTCGCTATTCCCTCGCAATATTTCCCTAGCAATTCTCTCGCTATTCCCTCGCAATATTTCCCTAGCAATTCTCTCGCTATTCCCTCGCAATATTTCCCTAGCAATTCTCTCGCTATTCCCTCGCAATATTTCCCTAGCAATTCTCTCGCTATTCCCTCGCAATATTTCCCTAGCAATTCTCTCGCTATTCCCTCGCAATATTTCCCTAGCAATTCTCTCGCTATTCCCTCGCAATATTTTCCTAGCAATTCTCTCGCAATATTTCCCTAGCAATTTTCTCGCTATTCCCTCGCAATATTTCCCTAGCAATTATCTCGCTATTCCCTTGCAATACTTCCCTAACAATTATTTCGTTATTCCCTCGCAATATTCCCCTAGCAATTGTCTCGTTATTCCTTCGCTATATTTTCCTAGCTATTTGCTCTTTTTTCCCTCGCTATTTTGTCTTTCACATGATATGCCTCGCTATTTCCTAGCAGATCCCTTACTGTTATGTTTTGGTTATCATCGCTAATCCCTCACTATTTTGTCGCAATTTTATAGCCAATGTAACAATAATTTTAATTTATACCTGCATGAACCAATCTTAGTCATGATGATAGAGGTGAATGCAATTTTTCCTAAAAAGAAAGATAATGAACGTTTAGCACATTGGAACATCAATTTTTAAAGCATAAATGCCATGGAGAGAAGGAATTTTAAATACTTTGATTGTGTGTTTGGATGAAGAATTTTATAAATTCAAGGAATTTTAAATTCTTGATATTTGAATTACTTTGATTTCAATTTCTATCATTCTTAAAATATTTTGTTTGGATAAGTCAATTCAAATTTCTCAAATTTTAAATTGTTAGGTTGGATATGATAATTTGATTCCACCATGATAAAATTGATTTTAAAAATATATTTATATGTTGAGATTTTTAAATTAAATTTTATAAAAATAAATATTAGCTAATTTTTAAATATTTAATAATTTTAAAAATATTTTTAAATATTCAATAATTAAAAACATGAAGAGATAAGAGATAAGATAAAATATATAAGTGAAATAAAAAGAAAAAAATATGAAGAATTTCAAATTCTTACTCTTTTGGGAGAATTTGAAATTCTACTATTTCAAGGAATTTCACAAATGCTTGAATTTCAAATTCCTTATAAATTCTTCATCCAAACAAGGTATTTCACCTCAAAGAATTTGAAATTCTTCAAATAAATGAATTACTCCATTTAAATTCCCCATCCAAACACACTATGATGGATAACTACGACTGAAATTCAATTTTATTTAATAGATTATATTAGATAATATTTAATAATTTTTAAAATTAATATTAGATAATATTTAATAATTCTAAAAATATTTTTAAATATTCAATAATTAAAAAATATTAGATAATATTAGTCAATTTGCAAGACTTTGTTCTCTAAATTTGCGAGACATTTTTTAGGGTAGTGCAAGCAACGTAATCTCTTATTTGCGAGGGATTAGCGACAATACTTTTCCCTCACTAATTTGCGAAGGATTTGCGAGGGATTTGCGAGGGATATACTTATAACTCATTAGCGAGGGATTTGCGACAAGAAAAAACTCTCGCTAGATGAGAAATTAATTTTTTTTATTTTGGGTCATAATTTGGAGAGGGATTTGCTAGGCATTTGCGAGGGCTTCAGTTCCTCGCTAAATAAGCACTAACTTTAGCGAAGGATTTGCGAGGAGATAAAGGTTGGTCGCAAAATGTTCCTATTTAGCGAGGGAATTTAGCGAGGGATATAAATCCAAGCTATTTCCTCGCTAAATTCCCTCGCTAATCCGCAAAATTCTTGTAGTGTTTGCGAGGGATTAGCGAAAAAAATTTCCCTCCCTAATTTGCGAAGGATTTGCGAGGAGTTTGCGAGGGCTATACATATAATTCATTAGCGAGGAATTTGCGACAAGAAAACTCCCTCGCAAGATGAAAAATTTATTTTTTTATTTTGGCTCATAATTTGGAGAGGGATTTGCAAGACATTTGCGAGGGACTAAGTTTCTCGCTAAAGAAGCACTAACTTTAGCGAAGGATTTGCGAGGAGACAAAGGTTGGTCGCAAAATAGCGAGGGAATTTAGCTAGGAATATAAATCCAAGCTATTTGCTCGCTAATTAGCGAGGGATTAGAGAGGAATTATATCCCTCGCTAAATTCCCTCGCTAATCTGCAAAGTTCTTGTAGTGTGTCGACAAGGTAATTCAAGCATTTCTAAGATCCTTTGGAAAGAATTAGAAATGTATAGATGTGTTTTGATCTGTACATGTTCGATGATTTGTTCCTGTGGGCTTGTTTTGAAGCTAAAGAAAGAACGAGAAGATGATTGTGTCAATAGATTTTTACGCAGTCTTAATGATGAGTATGCACAAGTCCAATCCTAGGTGATGCTCATGGAACCCATGTCTTCTATAGTCAAAACCTTCTCTCTTATTCTTCAGCGTGAACGAGAATTTGTTGGTAATTCTCAACCTCAGCCAAATTCAGATATTGTTGCTTTTACAAATTTTCAAGATGAAAACAAACAAGCTTCCTTCAACAGAGGAGTTTCAACCAATACCAAGAACCATGGTAAATATGGTAAAGGAACTAGCAAAGGTAACAAGCTTTGTACCTAATGTGGCAAAACTAGTCATACTATTGAAACATGCTTCTACAAGCATGGATTTCTTGCTGGATATAAGACCAAGAGTAAAGGAAATTCTTCTAATTTCAAACCATCTGCTAGCCTAGCTGAAGTAGATCCAGACGCAACTTCACAAAATGCCAACCTGGAGGAAAGTTCAAGCCAAGATCGATTCAGTTTTTCAAAAGCACAATATAAAGCCATTTTAGCACTTCTCTAACAATTCAAAGATCATTCATCTTTTGTCATTCATGTTTAAAATTCCATGGTTAATTATTCAGGTATTTTCAATTCTCTTATTTGGATCCTTGATAGTGGTGCCACAGATCACATTTGTCCCTCAAAGTCTTTTTTCTTGTTTCTTAAACCCATAAAACCTATAAATGTTAAACTCCCTAATCATACTACTGTTACTACTTTTTTTGGTGACATTCAAGTAGGAGATTTAACTTTGA